GTAAATTGCTCGAGTGGAGTTGAACAAAATATTCTCAGACTGATGATTCACTATAATATTTTCCTGTCATGAAGTCTTCTTAAAAACACGAACTGAAAAGGGAAGAAATGATGTTCAATAAAACAAGTATATTAACTAGACCAACCCAATGGCTGAACATGCAAAAAAAAAAAAAAAAAAAAAAAATCGTGTTACATTGACTCTCATCGTCTGTTATTGAATTTGCGTGACTACATCGCATCATTCTTCTTTTAAACCATGGTTATTAGGCTTTGGGGAGTTCAGTCTAATACTGCATACGTTAAATATTCCGACAAATATCTATCTATTTATCGATACACAAAATGAAGGAGTCACGCATTCAAAACTTACCAATTTTATGGCAAATATTGTGGTAGCTATTTACTCCAGCGTAGGGTCGTACTTTTTCAACATCTGAAATTGATTATACTTATCGAGTAGCAGTGTATATGATCGAATCATCATTATACAACATTCATTTTTGAGTTTGCTGTCACAAACGGCTTTAGTTTCCGAGTATTCATTAAAAAGTGTGATGTGCGTATTCGTCAGATGGCAGCACTGCGCATTCAAACGTGCTAACCTTCAGGGTTGCTTGTTCATAGTTTAGGTAAAGATCATCTGAATTTTTTCCAAAGGTGACATGTCTTTCGTATTTACATGTATCTGCTATTTGTCAGGTACTCAATTTCTAGTATTGATGAGCTAATCAAACGTTTTATATGAGATACATAGCTCCAACATGCTTAATTTCAAAGATTAAAAATGTCGTTGCTTTCGAAACGCCACCTATACGGATATGGCCGTACTTCGTTAAGTACGCGAAACAGTCCTACAAAGTAGTAAGTGCGAACTAGGTTTTTGTTTATATTCGTACTCGTACTTCATCGCCTGCGAAATCTTCCTAAAATTAAAACTCAAACAGACCTTTTCACACGCCTCGACACATTCGTCCATTTCTACCTGGCCATTGCCTGAAATAGAAACCAACAGTCATTTTATGGGATGTCGGATAATTCAAGCACAAGTCCCTACACTGACATTTAAGTTTAATGATATAAAAGAGGAAGAACCATACATATTATTAATATGACTTAGTCGAGTACTTTTTGTCACAAAATGAAGACTAACTCATACTTCAGGTATTTGAAGAACGCTGTTATGGCGGGGGTAAAAAGCACTTACCATTGGTATCTAGTGTCAATAAGTCAGACACTTCATCTTCTGTCAGTGCCCCGTCTCCATTAAAATCAACTATTTCAAAGAGTGCACTAGACCATAGCGGTTTAAATGTGGGATTCATTTTGACATTAAACTTCAGCATTTCACTTTCTGTGACTTCCTTATTGTCTACAAAATGGAAGAATGTTGAGCATTATCGGTTAAGCATTGTTTTATTCCATGGCTTCGTACAATTATTCTTTCAGAGAAAGTTCAATGTGTTCATAGTTTCGCCATACTTTTCATACTGTAGAAAATTAAAAAATACCCACTATCTCAATGCTATGAATATTGGCAAGGGCTGTTGTCAGTGACTTCATAATTCAAGGGTTTTTTGTGAAAATATTCTAAATTATACCACGAATTTGGTTATTATGCAACGTGTCATGTTAATTTTCAGGTATAATATCAAGTTTATTTCAGAAAAATACAGTGACAAATTTCGGCTTTGTTGCGGTGTTATAACCGTTGCAGATAAGACATACTGCGTTACGGAAGTGACATGCTGCAACTTACGATCAATGTCGGCAGAAGCCACGACAGCAGCCCATTCAGACACTGTGATAATATCGTCATTATTAGTGTCCGCGAACTGGCAAGCCATCCTCCCAATCTCCGCAGCTGTTAACTGAGGCTTTTCGCCATTTGTGGGAGCACAGTGACTAGAATGATTGAAATTAATTCAAATAATCTTTCTGCTGGGTATTTACAAATACTGTATGTACTGTGTTCAAGAAGATATGTACGCGTATTTCATTAAAAATGTCAAAACTGCAATGCTTATGTGTACGTTTTTCAAAATCACCCTTTTGATTGAAAGTACAACCATCCTACATTGTGATTGAATTTGGAAAAGTTTGAAAATCATGTCAGTTGGTTTTGATGCAACAGCAAATAAAATGCCGTGAGAGAGAGAGAGAGAGAGAGCATAAGCACAAGTGCTTACATGTTCGTCGCCATGAAGACAACACACAGAACCACGATTACCAACGTCAACTTCATTCTGCAGTTTGGTGTACTTGAATAGAAGTTAGATATCAACTATATATATAAAAGTACAGTGAGACATGTTTATAATTTCTAATGTTTTTTTTTAATGAATTTTAATAAATTTTCCTGGGATAAAAGACGATTTCCCATACTTACCAATGATACCAATCTATTCCACATTAAAAGTAAGTCTATGTTTTTTCTAATGCTTTTTGTAATAATCTCTCATTATTAATCTCTTAAGAGATTATTACGGGGGTATAACCATCTACGAAGGTCCATGTCGTTTGATGACAAGCACAGATTCCAGAATAATTACAATAATCGCTGTTTTGGTAGAAAAATGGAATTTATATTATTTCTCCGAGTTGTTTACAATATTTTGTTGGGAAACATTAATCTCATACGAACTACTATCGCTTTAAATTTGACTTTTTATTACATTGTTCACACTTTCAGCTGATAATTGAACCTCAGAGTTTAAAGCGCAACTAAAAAACGCACTGTTGTGAAGATTTTGCACAAATTATTCATTTTTGTATTTTCAATTCATGTAAAATGCAAAAGAAGGGGCCGATCCAGGATTATTTAAAGGTCCACGAATGCGAAGCCGACCCTCTCCCCCAACCGTGGGGTTCACTGGGCCCCAAACCAAATTGGTATTTTAGAGGGCTAAAGGTGAAGATGAGGACCCCCCTTACCACCCCCCTCTAAATCCGCCACTGAAATAAAAATCTTTGGCCACTGGATATAGTAGAATTTGTCTAGATAGGAAATGGGTTCAAGACAACGAGAGCCCCGCATATTTAACTTATATTTACTCAACTGGATGCCAGGGTACCATGGTCTGACACACAAGATACAACCCCCCCCCCCCCCCCCCCCCGTTAGATTATCTTCTAATAAATAAACGCATCAATGACAGTTCAAAACATATTTAAAAATCCCTCAAAATAAGCAGAGACTACGTATAAAATGGTACATAAATCCTTGCTGAGATAACCGATATCGACGACGAAATGATCAGATATATAATTTAAATTAATAATTAATAATATAAATTTTTGTATGATTGATCATCAAAAATAAACTTTCGATTGGACTAAAGTGTTTATGTAATTCTAACATGACACTCGTGGTAAAGCTGTTATATTACACAAAGTTTAAACAAGCGAAATAAGCCATAGAAATGTAATAGAACAATTGATGAAAAATAGAAATGTTGTTTTGTTACAATAATCGAGGAATCTCTTTGAATATGAATATAAAACTTACTTGTTGGTGCTAATTTTCAAAACCGCGATGACTAGGAGTGGAGTTCTCCGACTGAAATATCTACTAGAAAGGCTTCGCTCGAGTCTTTTTCTGAGAAATTATAGTGAGAGACAAGTCACCTGCTAACATACGGGTATTTTGATGTACTCGATGAAAGGTTAAAGCATACAAAAATGTATAGGACATTTTGAAAAGCAACGGATAAGGTCATAGAATGTCTGCCCGACAGCTGCCATCATCACTGGAAATTAAAATGCAGTAGTGGCACATACAGGTACCAGCATTTCATCATAAAAAATGTACATTTGGCATAAATGTAAAATTCATTGTTCCCATTCTGTTAGGAAAAAATGAAAACGGTTTCGAACAAAGCTGATGTATTTTCTGACATATGTTTTCAAACAGCCACTGTTATATTTGTGGTTTTTGGATTTCTGCCAGGTCCGAACCAAACTAGGTCTTATGATCCAAAAGGCAACAGCTGCTTTCGAGGACTACAAATACCTATACTATTGTATTTTATGTTTCAAAGAAGCCACCTGTTTCATTGTCAAATTTTAATCAACACTTACAAAACGGGAGTCAGATTTGTTAATGATTTATTGAGATTTAATAGGTACACTCCTATATTCGTTATATGTCTCTCGGTACAAAGATTTGTTTATTATTTATTGAGATTTAATAGGTACACTCCTATATTCGTTACATGTCTCTCGGTACAAACATTCGAGTGTTTTTCTTTTTCTCTTCTGTCTTTACTTGGCAAGATACAGATAGGTTAAGTTTTACTTCATTTGCACGTCACTTGTTAGTGTGCTATGCTAATATGGAAAAGACGATTCCAATATACAAGATATAATTCAAAAAGGTAAATAATCAGAATAGATACACTTTTATAAGTCATACGTTAATTAGATATTATATATCCTGGGTAGCTTTATGTTAAGAAATATACGATAAATACGAGTTAAGGAAAAGTATAAAAAAAGTAAGGATTCCATGCGTTCCAAACTGAAACAAAAAAGCAACAGAATGCCATCAACCTGTTGAGTTTTTCAGTTGCTTCTTAAACAACTTTGTCCGTCAAGTATTATAGAGGCATTCTGGCACACCGACTTTGCTAACTACACGTGCAAACAGTTCAGTAAGCAGCCGAAGAATCGCACATAGGCAACTCCCTGCAGTCTTAATCGCTTTCACTTTCACTTTTATATTCTGTCCAATCAAACTGGAGAAAAAGAAAAGGATGAACACAAATTATCATAGATTGAGGGCCATTTTTAAAGGTATTACGGCGTTAATGTGTTGTGGTTTTAAAATATATTTGATAAGTGGTAAGATTTCACTGTCCACAACTCTCATTTATTTGCATAGACTCCTTTGCTACCTGCTGCAAAGTTATGGACCGCCGTTCAGCAACTGATATCACGTTTCCTTCTGTGTCACGATGTACACTGACAAGGCATAAAAACAAAGTTCAATGAGACAACACATTATCCGCCAGCAGATGGCGCGGGGCTTTCGGCACGATACGCAGGGCCAAACGATATATTGCTGATCGCCGAGTTCCCAGTGAAAACCTGCGATACTACATCAATGACCACTCCGTCTGAGGTGTATCTTGTTATCAACACTTCCCGACGATCCCCTACGGTAGATTCTTCCGTTATCGTATACCTGCCATCTGGAAACGTTTCTCGTGTGGTTGTGATCTCCCTTTGCGTCCCATCTGGTCCTGCTTCTACCCTGCGGCTGGTTGTGACCTGGGGGTTGGCGGTATTTGACGAGAGGGTGCGAGAGTTGGCGGTACTTGACGAGAGGGTACGAGAGTTGATGATATTAGACAAGATAGTACGAGAGGTATCAGTAGAGCTTGCGACATTTGCAGAGGTACCGCTTGTGTTCGAGTCACAGATTTCATTTCGTCTCGAGATCTCTGGTGGTAGGTTGGGATCCTGTGTTGGAACAAATTCCGTTATGACACGGCAACGTCCGCCACTGCTGCTAGACAGAGGGATTTCTTCTTCCATACGACCAAGCACCTGGTTTTCGGCACCTCTTGTCACCGTTGATACAATTCGCCGACCGCCCTCAATCCTCTCCGTCCGAGTCACTGTCCGTGTCTCCCTTATCGTCTGCCCGGATAATGTTCCCCCTGAAACGACCTGCCCGCTTATCAAACTGGAGGAACCTGTTTGCCCAGCAATTGTTGCTGTCAGAGTTTGACCATTGCGACAACCAATGATGACTTCTCTCCCTGATGACGTCACCACCTCTCGCGGCAAAATCTCACTTGAAGTACATCCACGAATCAGAACCCGTCTTCCATTGCTTGTGAACACTTGTGATCCAGATATCCTCCCGCCGGTTATGATTATTTCTCTACTGGAAGTTGTTCCCGTTGTCGCAGTGCCTTGCCCACTGATTGAAACGGTTGTCCCCTCTGTCCTGTTACTGAGAATTTGACCATTTGCGCCAATTACCGAGAGACGAACCCCGGTCTGTCTTCCCCCGACCAATGTTACTTCACGAACATATGTCTTCCCCGCACTGTCTCGAGTTCTGGTCGTAGTAACCACCGTCAGGACTCCATTGATATCCAGTAAAGTCCTTCGCTCTATAGATCTCGAGATATTACGAACGAGTTCAGCCTCAGTGGTAGAGCTGCCACTCCCTTCAACGCGTCTGTCGATAACTTCACCATTTGCTCCAAGAAGGGTGGTGACCACTCTTCTAGTTGTGCCTCCTACAACGGTCTCTTCCTGAACGTAAGTTCTCCCTGCGCTGTCCAGGGTCCTGGTTGTAGTCACCACAGTTAACACTCCATCGATGTCGAACAACGACCTACGCTCTATCGATATTGAAATATTACGGACTAGTGGAGTGGGCGTTGTTACGACTATGGCACTACCCTCCACTCGCCTGTCAATCACTTGGCCATCTGCTCCAATAATTGTTATTATAACTGTAGTCCTTTGTCCTCCGACTACAGTTTCCTCTCGAACGAAGGATCTACCGGTACTGTCAACGGTTCTGGTTGTAGTTACTACAGTTACAATGCCATTGATGTCAGTTGACGTTCTTCGTTCTACGGATGTTGAAACATTACGAACTGGCGGAGTGGGGGTTGTTACCACGATGGTACTACCTTCTACTCGCCTGTCAATAACTTGGCCATTCGCTCCAATAATTGATATTATAACTGTAGTCCTTTGTCCTCCGACTACAGTTTCCTCTCGAACGAAGGATCGACCGGTACTGTCAACAGTTCTGGTTGTAGTTACGACAGTTACAATGCCATTGATGTC